CAGTTGGTTCAACAACAGCCGGTATGATTTTGCAAGTATTCTGAAAGAATCCACATGTGATGCCATAAAGTATGTTCATGCCCACGTGAGATTAGCTGTGTAATGGTGCATAAAATGTTCTTGTAGCCTGCAATTATTCATTCATTTTGTAATGGCCCTCAGCGGCTTTCATGGAAATCCTTGCCTTTGTGAGCCAACCTGATCTACATATTAAATTGTCAGAATTTTTAAAAAATTCTCCTGGTTGTGGAAATGTCCCAAGACTAATTTAAAATCGATGTTTTTTTTTTCTGAAGAAAGTGTTTCGATGTCAGGAAGCAAACCCAAGGCTGATTTTGTAGTATACCAGGTGAATAGGGTCAGGAACACTGGAGAAAATAATATTGCAGTGTAGTGCAGTACATGTGTGTTTTTATACTTGCTTGCTTCACCGCTGTGCCTTGAGAAAAGTAATTAAATTTAACGCTGTTTGTAAATCCTATTTGCCTTTGTTATACATTATCAAGGGCGTTAAGCATAAGATGAGTGGGTGCAAGAACAAAAGGACAAAATTATAATGGTGTTAAAATAAGGAAGTCTTGCCAAATCAATTCAAGGCACCAGTCAGACCACACGAGAAATACTGAGAGCAGTTTTGGTCCCCTTGTCAAAGAAAGGTATACTGGCATTAGAGGCAGTCCAGAGAAGGATCAGTAGGTTGATCCTGGGCATGAAGGGATTTTCTCATGAGGGGAGGCTGAGCACATTGGGGTTCTGTATACTAGATGGAGTTTAGAAGAACAAGAGATGACTTTATCAAAACATGCAAGATTCTTAGAAGGCTTGAAAGGATAGAAGTGGAGAGGTTGTTTCCCCTATGGGAGAGTCCAGAGCCAGATAGCATTATTGATTAAATAATATCATCTATTTTTTTGAGTGTGTTCTGATATATTCTGTTCTAAGCTTTCAGCATTGGTACTAAATATTAGGATTGGAATAACTTTTGTTACTAAGTGGTAAAGGATGGTCATCGTACTACATGTCACATGAACAGAATCAGACAGCTTCATTCTAACTATTAATTCTTTGAGGTGGACTGACCAAATGAGAGAGGCATTTGAGATGGCATTATTTGAAAGGTTAATAATGACATCTTCTAGCATTGAAGCATGCTTTAGAAATAGCTCAACTCACCCATTATGTGTTTCAGACAATTCTTGACACTACTGCCAGATTATCTAGTTCAGACTATGAGTTATAATTTATCTGTTGAAAAGCAAATGTCATTCTTTGCTAACTTATGGCCATAAGTTCAGGATAAATAATTTTTAAATTCACTGGGTTCATTGATGTGCCACTAATGTGGGATTATAATGTAGGAAACTGAAGAGTCTGGTGCATCTCTTGATTCACCCGATTATGTGTCTCTTTCACTTGGCATAAGCTGGTATATATGATAGCTTTTAAGATACTTTGCATACTGAACCAGAGAGTGAGGGATAACTTCAAATTCTCAGTGGGTTATCAGAGATGTCCATGGACCTCCTTGTTAGAAACTTCCAGATGAGTTAATAATCAATTATTAATACTGGCTGGTATTCTTTCTTGTCAATCTGATAGGAATGCCTAAAATAAATTATAAAAAATAAATTTTTCTATGGGTGCATAACTTGGTTAGCAGAATGTGTATGGCTTCTGGCATCCTATCAGACTAGATAATTCAATGCAATTTTCAAGCTTTGGACAGAACAAGTTCTGGGAATTGCTCACTGGAGTTCATTTTAAAATTTTTTGCACTTTGCCTCTTTTAAATTATTAATGATACTTGTGATGAGAAGCAAGATGAAATCTGCCGTAGGTGAAGACTGGAAGGTCTGTCTTTTCTAAAAATAAACTTGATGACTTCTTTAAAAAAGACCCATCCTATTTTTCTCTCACTCCCCTTAATGATCTATGTCCGCAGGATTAAATAACAGAAGCATATAGGAAACAATGGTCACAATTACTTGATGTCATGTTTATAGTGAGCAGGGAAGGTGCTTCTGAAGTCAAATGACCCCCAAAAAAAAAAAGACAAGGCCCAAAAGTGGAGACACTGTTCAGTCTGATTGGCAGGACTTTAAAAGAATTTTGTAGTTCTGCTTCCCCCCTGGTCGGTGGCAAGTGAGCAGCTTGGTCAACAGGCAGAAAGTGGCCCACCTGTGGCAGGAGGCCATTGCTGGGGAGTCATGGGGACCTTGCCCGACAATCGGATGGGATTGTTGAAGGGATCTTGGCAATGTATTGTGTGGGAGAGAGACCGCTCTTCAGGCCAGGGGTTCATTGAAGACTTCCTGAGAAGAGCACACTGGTGCTCCTTCCAGTTCATGAGGAAAGGTGAAACATCCACTTACTTTGGGGAGCTCGCAATCCCCACTTCATAATGAAGTTTTCTCACTTGTGGAAATCTGTACAGCAATAGATAATGCCAAATCTGACTCCCAGTTATCGGAGCCAAGTTTAGTTATGTTCCACCTCTCCAACAGTTTGACATTTGGATGCTGTAATATTTGGTGCCATAAAAATGTTGACAACTATGTTGCATTCCAAGTATTTTACTGTTAAATGCCCCCAGCACACTCCAGTCTTTCTCTACCAAAGCCTTGATATCTGAAAATCCTTGTCACTTTTCTTCCTTTTCCTGTCTTTAAATGTGATGACCGAAACTATTTATGATGGTGATAGATCACAAAGAATCTGTATGCATTTTTGGTCTGCAGTACATTTCTATTCCACATCTGTCTTGCTCAGTAAGCACTCAGTAGATTTTGTAATGGACTGATGTAACTCTTTTTGTTTCAATGTTCAAGGTAGGATTATGTAAGCAGATTTTTTTAAATGAGAGGCAGGTAGTGATGAATGTTAACAACAAAGCTGCCAGGAAAAACTTAACTATACTAGATAGTGGTTTAATATCCACTGTATGCGCCTATCTCTATTCCTTTTAAAGTTATCTCAAACAAGACTGGTTTTATATTGTTTCATACCTATACATTCAGACAACAATGTGTATGATGCTGGCAGTAAATGGTGTGTAAGCAGATGTAGGCAAAAATATTGCAACATTAATCATAAATGTTAGTGCTGTTAAGTAATTGGAATTTTTCCAGATAATTGAAAGGACATGGCAGTTAGAGTACATTAAAGCACTACAATATAAATGCAGATAGTGTTCCATGCTGCACTATATCATTTATAAAAAAAATACGTTTATGTAATTAATTTGACTTTAGTGAAAATCTGAGTAGCCATAATTTTCTAGTTAGTGTACAAGAGAAGTGACCCAGTTAAAATTTAAAATTATTGCCTTTTAATCCCTCCCCAAAGGACCGTACAAGCAAAACTATTTCTGCTTCTTTTCTATTAGAAGTGAAAGTAGTCAGGGATAAATAAATTAGGGATGTAATGCAGAGTTTGATGAACAATATTTTTACAAACGCCTTCATTTAGAATTGACAACTTTCATAGAAGGACCTTGCAACTTTGAGAAAATGTTGATTAAAAATGTTGCTGTTATAGAGTCATAGAGATATGCAGCATGGAAGCAGACCCTTTGGTCCAACACGCTCATGCTGACCAGATATGCTAAATAAATCTAGTCCCATTTGTCAGCATTTAGCCCATATTTCTCTAAACCCCTCCTACTCATATACCCATCCAGATGCCTTTTAAATGTTATTGTACTAGCCTCCACTACTTCCAATGGCAGCTCATTCCAAACACGCACCACCCTCAGTGTGAAAACGTTGCCCCTCAGGTCCCTTTGTCCCTCTCACCTTAAACCTCTATAGGGTCACCCCCTCAGCCTCGAGGGAAAGTAGCCCCAGTAGCCTCTCCCTGTAGGTCAAACCCTCCAATCCTGGCAACATCCTTGTAAATCTTTTCTGAACTCTTTCAAGTTTCGTGCCATCCTTTCTATAGCAGGGAGACCCGAATTGCACGCAGTGTTCCAAAAGTGGCCTAACCAATGTCCCGTACAGCCGCAGCAGGACCTCCCAACTCCTATAGACAATGCACTGACCAATAAAAGCAAGCATACCAATGCCGCCTTCACTATCCTATCTACTTGCAAATCCACATTCAAGGAATTATGAACCTGCACTCCAGGGTCTCTTTGTTCAGCAACACTCTGCAGGACCTTCCTATTAAATTTATAAGTACTGTTTGAATACTTTAAGTATTTTTAGGTGCTAAATTGTGTAGCTTTTTTTTAACGAAATTTGAGGTTTCGTGTATGAGCAGTACTTTCAATGTTAGTGGTGACAAAGGAGTTGTTATCTGCCATATTTTGGGCAACCCCTTAGCACAGAACACTGCTCCTTGATTTGTATGCTGGATATTGACATTTCCATTAGCACTGTTAAAATTGGCGCAAACCTGTTGTTTTTTGTCAGAATGCAAAAATAAAGTAAAAATAGTTTCTATGGTGTTTTTTTTACAGACTTATTTGTTTCTGTCTAATTTCTGCCCTTATTATTAACTGACTTACATTACAATGAGAGTTAGGAACATCAGTCCAGTAAAATGGTTTAGCACTTGCAAGTCTGAATTTGAATCCATCCTGAACTATTGGGTTGGCAGCCTCATTTGTGATGGTCAAGCAATGTCCCCAACCTGGTAGGCCCACAAGTCAAAATTGTTTAAAAAACGTGCACAGTTTCTCAGATGCCATAGGGTGAGCAATATACAAAGTGAGGAAAGTTACATTTGTGTACTTGGGGGATCGCCTTCTAATACTGGGAGAGTTTAGAATGAACATTATATCTGGCCATATAATTTCCCACATTGGACTATAGCTGACACAAATTATCTCGGATGTAAAACTGAGAAATTCTTAGGGAAAGAAATTATATTATGTAAGATATATGTCAACTGATTTGTAATTTCTGATGGCTTATTTTGAAAGAAGACCCATGCTACAGTTTTGCATTGATGTGGGTTGCTTTTAATTTTAACATGTCCCTCATTTCCCTACAGTGCTTGACATGGCCAGGCATGTTCCTCTGTATAGATCTCTGCTGGAGTTGCTACGTGCCATTGCTTCATGCATATCCCTTGTGCCTCTTCTTCTGCCTTTGTCTGGTGATAACAGTGAGGAGGATGACGAGCATTCTGAAACACAGACTTCTGTTGGCACTTTACTAGCAAAGATGAAAACGTGTGTGGATACTTACACCAACAGATTAAGGTATGTTCTGGCAGTTGATGATAACTAATGTTTTGGTGGTCCAAACTGATGTCAACATGCTGTTTTAGGGACCCTACTGCCATAAATTTGTTTTACCTATTTCTCAATATGGCCAATCATATGCTTTCTTTATATTAATCAAAATATCAATCAACCAGATTGTGTTGTTAAATGCAAAGTTGTTAATATTTTTATTAAAAAACTGAATCAGTGAAGGTGCAAAACCAGTTAACACTAAGCTTGTAACATGAAAATATAATTGTTTACCCCTTTGAATAACTAAAAACACACACGTGCACACGCACACGCAAACGCACGCACTTGAAAAAGGGGAAAAGCAGATTTCTGTTTGGGAAGAAATGCTTGGCTAATGAGTCTTAGTTCTTGAAAGCAAAAAGGACAAGGTTTGAGCAAAAAAGAATCCCCCTCGTCCTCACGTAGAACCAAAAAAGAATCCCCCTCATCCTCACGTACCACCCCACCAACCTCCGGATCCAACGCATCATCCTCCGACACTTCCGCCATCTGCAATCCGACCCCACCAAAGACATCTTTCCCTCCCCACCCTTATCTGTTTTCCGGAGGGACCACTCTCTCTGTGACTCCCTTGTCTGCTCCACACTGCCCTCCAGCCCCACCACACCCGGCACTTTTCCCTGCAACCGCAGGAAGTGCTACACCTGCCCCCATACCTCCTCCCTCACCCCCATCCCAGGCCCCAAGAAGACTTTCCACATCAAGCAGATGTTCACCTGCACATCGGCCAATGTGGTATACTGCATCCGCTGTACCCGGTGTGGCTTCCTCTACATCGGGGAAACCAAGCGGAGGCTCGGGGACCGCTTTGCAGAACACCTACGCTCGGTTCGCAATAAACAACTGCACCTCCCAGTCGCGAACCATTTCAACTCCCCCTCCCGTTCCTCAGACGACGTGTCCATCCTGGGCCTCCTGCAGTGCCACAACGATGCCACCCAAAGGTTGCAGGAACAGCAACTCATATTCCGCTTGGGAACCCTGCAGCCCAATGGTATCAATGTGGATTTCACAAGCTTCAAAATCTCCCCTCCCCCTACCGCATCCCAAAACAAGTCCAGCTCGTCCCCGCCTCCCTAACCTGTTCTTCCTCCCACCTATCCCCTCCTCCCACCTCAAGATGCACCCCCATCTCCTACCGACTAACCTCATCCCGCCCCCTTGACCTGTCCGTCCTCCCTGGACTGACCTATCCCCTCCCTAACTCCCCACCTACACTCACCTTTACTGGCTCCATCCCCGCCTCTTCGATCTGTTTGTTTCCTCTCCTCTATCCATCTTCTTCTATCCGCCTCCCACTCTCTCCCTATTTATTTCAAAACCCCCTTCCCCTCCCCCTTTTCTGATGAAGGGTCTAGGCCCGAAACGTCAGCCTTTCTGCTCCTATGATGCTGCTTGGCCTGCTGTGTTCATCCAGCCCTGCACCTTGTTGTCTCGGATTCTCCAGCATCTGCAGTTCCTACTATCTCTGATTCAAGGTTTGAGATGTTCAGATGGCTTTTGGTCTGACATTCTGGCATGTGTAGATGATTGACACCAAACTTAAGCAGCTCTCTCTGGGATCTTGGCAGATACAGCTTGCTTGGAAAGCACAAGTATTAAGAAGTCTTACAGTTGCTCTTCTGCAGGAGAGTCAAGATTCATTGCAAGAGGTTTTTTTTCAGAAACAGGAGAGCTAAACTGGGAACTCTTTCCCTTCAACAGACTGATCATGTAACCATATCTTAAGCATGAGCTGCAACTTGATCGTCATAAACCCAATAGGGGGTCAACATTAAACAAGCAATATCAGAAGCACATGTGATGTCATTTTTTTTTTACTAAAAAAAAATTCCATTGTACATTGTTTGACCTCTTTAAAAGAAACCAATGCAGGCATCTCCAGTCCTTCAAACTCAGAACTTTACTCACAAAATATTAAATATGAAGCCATCATAACATTATCATAATCCTTCACCCCAAGGCCTTCATCCTTTGTCTACCCACACTCTGTTCTCCCTGCCAATTCAGCTAAGCAAAAGCCATCGTATTTATATTATCTGTTCCACTTCTCCTTAAAGAAACGGTACACACTTGCAAAATGAGGTCTATGTGTATTGTCCAACAGGAGAGAAGCAACCACTTAGCATCATGGCATCAGTACCTAATTGTTGCCGCCTGTCCCTCACTCCTTTTTCCTGCTCTTAAAGGACTGACTGTTTGTTTGTTGAATTTGAAGAGCATGCTAAACCAAACATCTTTTTCAAGTATGGTTTCAGAACGAATGCTGAGACGCTGCTTATAGATGAAGTAAGAATAAATTGTTATTGATACGACTTGCACTCTTCCCACCTCTGAATTTTACATGAATGGCTTTTTAAAACAAACCTAGTTGTCAGTATTCTAAGCCAATCAGGGAAGATTTAATTTCTTAATCTGACATTTTCCAAGACTAAATGTTGGACTGGAATGAAAATATTTTTCTTGTTTGACCTGCCATATCATGATGTTGCTTGTGTACCTATCCTATGTAACAAAACAAATTCATCATAAACTACAGGATGATTTGCTTGCTCTTTTCAGCAGATGTTGTTCGTATTTTAAGTCGTGTGTGATAAGAGTTTTTGTTTGACGATTGGACAACATGTTTATGAATATAGTGGTATGTTTCCTAACTTGGAGGGAAAAATAAATCTCGGATCACATTGTTTTGTTGTTGCTAGCTGGAAGCTATTGCATTTACTTACAATAAATTCTATTTTACGAAACTGTATTTTTGACATTTCATTTGAAATGTACACTCCAATGTACACTCATTACAGCTAATAACCACTAAGCTTTTATCTATTCATTAAGACCGATGAGAGTAGGAATATTAAAGTCATGACTTTATTCTTTTGCTCTGTACCATCATGCATAGCTCTGTAGGAGAGGTTTGTTTAATCAGTCTGCTGTTTAGGAGTTCTTGTTCAAGTGGCTAATTTTGCAAAGTGAGAGTACAACCTTTTAGAGCACCAATGAAAGGTGGGATTTGGGCTTGAGTCCTGTGGGAATCAACTGTCGCTCCTGACTTCACTTCCTATTTCATTTGTTTGTTCTTTTGCGTTAATATTGAGCTCTTATTTCCCATTATCTGCTGGCTGCACTTGACTCAAAAATGTAGCTTCTGACATCAGTCATGAAAATATCAGTGACATGTTGGTCCTCCTAGCAATTTTTCTAGCTGAATCTGTTTAAAACAGTTATGTATCACTACAGACTGGGGTAGTTGATTCATTTATAAAAGATGATTTTTTAAATAATTCCTCATGCAAATCGCATTGTAATGTTCACCTTAATGATAATTGTTCATAAATTGACTGTTTTAACTATAGAATGGTCTTGGTTTAAACAAGGATTTTCTAAATCGAATATTATATTTTTCCTCTGACTGCAAGATTGTCATAGTCTGGCTTTCCCATGCCCAACACCACACAAAATAACTTATTTTCTCCAGTGGTTGACATTTGGCAGAAAGTGCTCATGGATTTTTATATGACAAATCTTTTTACATGTAGAGAGGTTGTTAACCAGAACAGCGATCAAAATGTTACAAGAACAGAATATTAGTTATATTAGAAATTGTTTCTCATGGCAGAGCATTGATAACTGAAGTACACTCATTTAAGATGATTGGCACTGAACCAGAGAAACTTTTTATTGTAAACTCATCAAGTTGCAACCTGGAATGCTTTGCCTGAAAGGATGGTGGAATCAAATTTGATAGAGAATTGGATAAGTATGTGAGGGGGAAACAAAATTGCAGTGGTCTGGGTGAGTTCAAGGAAGTTGGATAAATTAGATTACAAAAAAACTGAGAGGCATAAGCCAAGTGGCCCCTGTGCTCTCTTTCTATTCCTTCACTTGTTTAAGATCATTTGCTCTATTTACAGAAATGATACACTTTTACAAACCACTTGCATTTGTAAAATTCAATTTCCATGTATGAATTCATTTCTTTTCACTTATAGTGCTTTAACCTATTGTTTGAATTCAGCAGTTGTGCTTTACAAAGATATTCAGGTGCAGGGAAGTTCTCTTGCACCACTGGCTTTGCTATAAGTTTGGGAATTGTATGCATTGCCCTATAGTCTCCTCCATTATGGTGAACCAGTCAGATATTCTAAAGTTTAATTTTAACTCATTCCATTCAGCTAAATAACTGTTAAACTGCAAGTATGCTTCTTAATTTTAGATTTAATAAATAAGCATAATATAACAACAATATTTGTGCAGTGAGCATTTATGATTTAAAGAAAACAACGAAACTCATGTTAAATCCTATGTTCTCAGCGCTGTAAGTGATATGTGACAATTATATGAACAAAAAAGCCCGCTCTATCCTGTAGCTTTTACATACATCATAGAACATTACTTCATGTTGTGGATAACCTCATTTAGTGTATCCCTTTGAGTTTGTCTTTTCAAGATGACTCATTGGCTTTTGCCCAATCTTGCAATGTGCAGGGTATTTCTGTCCAGTTTTCCCCAGCATCTGAATGAGTAGGCTCTTGCTGGGGCACAGTTCAGTCAGTGTTAACAACCTTTTGTACAGTGAATGATAAATCTTTGATTCACACTGAAGCTTGGAGGAATATGTAGAAATACATAAAAGCTGCTGGAAACACATCTGTGGTCCCAGCAATTCGAGGTGACATTTGATCTCCGTTCAACCAAATGATTTTAATTGCATCAGTGATTCTGTCCCCATAATCCTTCAACCCCTTTTTCTTTGTTTATCTGTGCAATCTATTTTTAAATGCTGCCATAACTTCTTCCTCAGCCACATTCACTGGAAGTGAATTCCAAAATTTTGCAACTATATGTGTAAAGAAGTTTCTCTTGCTTAAGCTAAATCTTATGTTTTTATTCTTGTATCTATGGCTGTTTGTGTTAGTTGATGAACTGCAAGAAAATGCTGTTTCTAACTATCCTAGCCCATTCTC